TAATAATTAACTATAATAGAAGTATAAGTGCTTGTTACCAAAATGTAGCCCATTAAATTCTGCGTCGAATGGTATATAGAACATCTTCCAGATGTTGTGAAATGACGTAAAAATTAATCAAATACTAAAAGTATGCTAAACTTTTTTTCCCTACTTTATTTGACAATGTTTAGTATTTTGACTATAACATCATCATTACTCAATGAAAATCAAAAAATTTTTTTACCAAAATGATCAGCGAAAAAAGTTCTACAAAGTCTGATATGAGAGAAAATTTTCAGAGTACCCTTATTATTCGTTCATGAGTAAAAACAAAAATGTACATGCTTTTTTGGCCGCGCACTGTAAGATTTTTGTTTATCAAAAAAAAAACAGCTGTTGCAAAAGTATAGATTTGTATTTCTTGGTTTTGCTAGATTATATTTGACTTTTATCTTTTGTCATACATTATTGAAAAACAATGTCGCTAACGTAATCAGACTTATCGATCAAAATACTAAAGGACACTTTTCCTATTTAGTGATATTGTTGATGGTATTTAGTTTTCAAAATACTATACATTTAGTGAATGATTTTTGTTTGAAGTAACTAATACTAGTACCCATTGGAAATGAAATCAGTAATCATTGAACTAATTCGAAAACTTGAATGTTCTTTGGCGCATTCGATCAGAAAAATGATTGCCATGCGTTGGTTTTCGAATATAATAGTTCATTAAACTTCATGTAGAGTATGTGTCTTCTTCAAATAACTAATGACATAAGTATTACTCTGAGAGATGTTATTATTCATATGATATCTGAATATGTATCCGGCATCAACAGGCTTCCATTTGAAAATTGAACCCTGTTGAGACTTCTAGGTATTTTCTTAAGTAAACTGTAACAATTCTACATTTTACAGGTAATTAAATTTGAAACTATCACAATAAACTACTCTGATCAAGACCTGTTTCTATACAAAGTTTTGAGGTCAAAATTCGAAAAACTAGATTTTCAGATGTTCCTCAATGGGCTCACAGCATTCACTTAAAAAATACCATAAAAATGTAGTATTTGTGCAGTAATAAGCTGAGCATCAACTCTTTTCAAGATATTCATAACTCATTTGAGTCAAAAATTTCTCAAGTAAAGTAAATTTTTCGTTTATAAGCATTATATTATGAATGATTTAGTAAGCAATAATTTTAACTCACCACATGATTCTAATAGAATAAATAATTACATGTCAATCATCGACTATTAAATCTACAATAAATAAACACGAACAAAATAAAAAAAGTTTAAAGAATAATCAATAATTAATATATTTGAGAATTTTTTTCTTTAATATAAAAGAAAAACATTTTCCTTATTTAATAACTAATCATTCGTATTTCCAAATTTCACTTTAGCTTATTTCACTTTTTTCTTAATTAGAGAAATTCCTCAAATTTGAATATCACGCTGAAAGTCTTTAGAGATTTTTTGATTAAAAATGTTGTCATCTTAATGAAAAACAAAAGACAATTAAAATCAAATAAGATCACACATATTTTTATTCAATATATAATCATCGAACAATAATTATGAGCATGAGAAAAAAAAAACGAACAAGGGATTTCATATTCATCATTGATAAAATTCCATCATGGTCAAGAAAAAGAAAAACTAAAGATCAATCTAAACACATAACATTACGAATAATAATCAAGGAAAATATGTAATATCTGTATTTAAAATGGAATAAGAAAGTAAAGAATATAATCGTTTTTTTCCATAATAAATAACATCAGTAATATATATATATAACACAGACATTAAAACATCCTATGTCCACATAGAAACAAAGATAAAGATTTCTAAAAAAAACAACATCAACTATTGCAATGAAGAAAAACAAATGAAATGCAAGGAAAATCTTTATATGCACATAAATTGACTGTTCAAAAACAATAAATGTGAAAAGAAAAAGATTGCACACGAAAAAATCTACAATATTCTCTTTATATAAATATCCGGAATAAATAAAATGTCTGGAGAAAAGTTCTACTAAATTTCTTTTTTGTTTTGGTACGAATTCATGACATAGATTTTGTTTTCTGCTCATTACTAAAACATAAGTTTACAGTCAATAAACATAAAAGAATAAGTTGTGCTACAGTCAATAAAGAATAAAAAATATGAATAATAATAATAATAAAGAATCACATTTAGGTAAATGAATAAACAACAAAAAGAAAAATAATAGATATTTTTTTTTTATACATGACAGAAAAAAAACAAAGAAATGATGATATTAATAAAATAAATAAGATGCTGCTTAAATTCAATTCCGTTGTGGAACTGGTGGTCGTTCTAATGGCCGTGGTGGAACACTCGGTGTTGGACGTCTAAAACAAATAATTCAATATATATATATATATAACGGGTGCGGCAGAGAAAATTGCCGGTTTTTGATAGGCTATTTTCTCAAGTTAGGCTCGACTAGAAAGTTTGATTTTGATGTTAAAAGATAGAGAATTTTGTGTAGAATTCATTGATATGTTCGTTTTTAAATGAGCTTTTCCCGTTTTCTTGTAGCAATTAAACTACAGGATGCCACAAAAACATCAACTGCTCAGCACTTTGCTGGAATAAAATGTCATTTTTATTTTTTAAATCATTTTCTATACGCTATTCAAACACACTTTGAAAAGGAGAGAAACGTATTTGTTTTTTAGAGGCAAAACCAAATTTTTGTCCAAAACTTTACTATTTAAAAACCACTTACAAAATATGTCTAATTATCAATTGTTGGCGCCTATTAATGCCAAGGGAAACATTTCAACTTCGTTATTCGGTTAGCAAAAGAGTTTAGTCCTTATAAAGAAGTACATTCTGTACAGCTTGAAATTCTGCGTCTGTTTATACAAAAAGGATTATTTTTCTAAGACCGACTTTTGATAAAATTGATAAAGAAAAGTCCGATTCCGTTAGCCGAGGACATCTTTTCGATGCTTTTTAGTTTTCGAAGGAGAAGCAACTAAGTGTATCAAACCCAACACACCACTAGATGCACCAAAAAATTCTACATATCTTACAATAAGAAAGAGATTTTGAACTCAATCTAACTTGGCAAAAATTAATTTTTACGCGTTTCTGATTTTGCAGTTGAGCAGTTTATGTTTTTGTGCTATTCAGTAATTTTGATGCTACAAAGAAACGACAAATGTTGATTTAAAAGAGAACATATTAATAAATTCTACACAAAATTCTCTATCTTTTAACATCAGAACCAAACTTTCTGGTCGAGACTAACTTGAGAAAACAATCTATCAAAAACCGGCAATTTCCTCTGCCGCACCCGTTATATATATATGAATAAATTTAATTATTTGTGCAGCAATAATCAATTAAGCAAAATTTAAGAAGTGCAGACATATTTAGAGATTTAATGATGATAATGATAATGGTTTTAATTTTTTTTCGCTTAGAAAAACTTACAGTGGTGTCGAAGGTATTAAAGGTTGTGATGAACCTCCTAGTTGCGGACTCGCTCTACCTTGTTGATTCATTGGTGGTCTGCAATAAATAGGAGAGACATTGAGTAACTAGTAGAATGTTATTATGAAAAATAAGTGGCATATACAATCAAGTAAGAAACTCAATCGGTTAATCATGCTATTAAAAAAAGCTGTTAGTACAATTTCTGTAGGATTAAAATATGAAACACGATATATCGGCTCCTACGAATCGTAGGAAGATTGTTTGATTCTATCTAAGTTAAAGAAATATTTCTCTACTATTATTTTACCTAATCTCTCAAAAATGCAATAAGGAACTAGTTCATATATGATAATGAGACACAAGTGATATATGGACTGTGATCGTATGTCAATGTCTGTCACGATTTGTGAGTGGAAGTTCAAATTTTTACCCCTACACGTCAATATTTCCTTGAGATCGTGTTTCTCAACTGAAAAACTAGGTTATGCGTAGAGTTGTTAGTATTGCAATAGCCCATTGCTTTAATTTTTGATTAATCTAAACTTACGATGACATTGTAAGTATTATAATACCATTCTGATAGGAAGATGAAGATGATATAAGTATAGCAAAAGAATCTAATCCAGCAAATAGATTAGATATGATGTCATTGTATGCTAAGCTCGTCTGCAAGAGTATAAAATCATATATACAACAGTACTTTTATGTTAAATCAAGCGTATGAAAATTTTTTAAGTATTTTTTTTGTCGAATATTTTAGCTTAGAAAAGTTTCATTATATTCCATTCTATTCTTTGCCAAAATCTCATTTAATTCTGTGAATATATTCGACTAAGATTTTATACACTTGATAATATGTTTGAATAGATAGATATTAGACTTGATTTTAGAGAAATAAAAAACAAAAAACAAAATCGTAAACAAATGTTAGAAGCATTGAATGATTACATACTGAGACAACATGTTTGCAGGAAAAGTTGCCATATTTCCACCAATTACATTTGGTCGTATTGGTGGTTGTGGAGGTTCACGTGCTCCAAATGCATTTGGATTTGCATACATAGGCGCTGGTTGTCTCCATTGTGGATTTGACGGAAAATTAGATGATGGTGCAAAATTATTATTCATTTGAGGATTTACTGTTGCACTCGAAACACCAGCAGCTAATACAGATGCTGACATAACTGATCCAGCTACTTTTCGAGCATTAGCATGAAAATTTTCGATTATATTTAAAGCCTGAAAAAAAAATAATTTTATTCAAAGAAAAAAAGTAAAAAAATTGTTTGATTATACAAACATTTTTAACAGCTTCATATTCAGCTAGTTTAGCTTCTCGACGTTGTCGTTCTTCTTCTGATTCTTGTAATAATGCTTTCTAAAATATCATAATAATAATAGTTTATAAGATTTTTAAAAATTTATAATAAATCTTACTGGATCAGGAAGTGCATAAAGATGTGCTAATAATTCTTTTGCTACAAATTTTTGCACCTTAAATAAAAGAAGAAATAATTAATTGAAAAACTAATAAAGGAAGTCTTCCAACTGATAAATCCCTTTTGAATCAAGACTATGTGTATTATTGAAATCCAGTTTTGTTATTATGAAATTTATTTAAAAACTACCGTAAACGTGCAGTATCTTCGTAACAATAACCTAATCATACGAACTCTTTTCATAGTTATTCATATGTCATTTGGATCTACAAGTCTCGACTCAATAGCAGTTTATTAGTTGAAGAACTTTTTTCACCAGATAAAACTTACGTTTTGAACAACATTATACATAATTGCTTTTGGAATATAATCACGTGTCATTTTAGCAACTATTTGCATATATGATGATACTAATTTATTGATTGTTTCAACTTGTCGTTCCATATGTGGATCAATTGGACCAACTTCAGCTGCTGTCTATTCATTGAAAAAAAAAATTAAAAAGGATTATTTATGTATTTTGTTTTTGCATGTACCGTTGAATCTTCTGCTCGTTGTTCACGTTCAGGATAAACACCAGCACGTAAAAATGATGCTTTCCATGTATCAAGTTCATCAACACTATCAACTGATAATTCAAGTAGTTTATGTTCTTTATAAACATTTCTAAATCAAATTTTATATTAAAACTATTATAATAATAATTAAAAAGAAAAAAAGGTGCTTACTTTCCTTCAGTATGAAATATTGCAAATTGTGGTCGTCTTGCCATAAAACCACTTTCAACATCACGAATTTTAAGATTTTCTAATGGTAACATATATTTTTTATCTTTTTCCTTGAAAACAAAAAAAAAATCAAAATTACAAAGAATGTAATAAAATTTTCTAAGAAATTTTTTTTTTTTGATTACATACATCTGCATCTGTAAACCAAGATAGATTATCAGTGGATAAAACAAAGAAAAAATCTTTGGCTTGAAATAATTTAACACCAGTATGAACACGAAGAAATCCTTTACGAATAATCTAAATTAATAAAAATTTCATTTAAATAAAAAATAGAACGATTAATGATACATATATATTTATATACAGTCTAACAAGAATAGCAGTGATAAAAAGAACTTTTTTTTTTTTGGTATTCTCCTACGGCCATAGAAATTTTATTTTAACAATACAACACTTATACTATAGATTTATTTTCATATTAAACATACGTGTCCCTGTGAAGAAGAAAATGGAATTGTTCTTTTTCAGTTTAAATATCGAAGTACGAATCAAAATGATCAGTAAAATATATAGATAACTTTTGGAGAAAAAAAATGATTTGTACTTATTTACCTGATTGGTCACATGTCGTTTGGTTTCACCGGAATTAACGGATTTTTCTGCACTAAAAAATATTTAAAGAAAAAATAATTGATATTTATCATTACAAAAGGAATGATTCATGAATAATATATGCACTTTTCCAGTTGATTATTCATACAAAAAACAAAGTTTCTATTTCAAAAAGATAATATATACATAGAAAATCCTTTATGGAGAGGAAGAGCTTAAACTATCAATTACAATATTTCATTACTTCGTTTACATCGTGCGATATTCCAATTAAGACTGTTTGTCTACCAAAAAACGTCATCAAAGCCAATAAAACCTCACTCTCAAAAACAGCCTTGCCATCTGGTTTTACATTTCGATTATCATAAAATTACTTTGTCAAAAACACATTGATGTTGACAACATTTTCATGCGAATTTAGGCGATTAAAATGTATTTTTTTAAAATATTGCTTAAATAAATTTCTGAGCAATTAATTTAATCTTTTGTAAAAAAGAAAATGTACTGCTTATCATATAACTTGAAATAGGAATTGACTTGATGCTTTTTTTAAGAATCTTATCGGTGTTAACAGACTTCAACTTTTTGTTCCTATCGGAATCACTCATTCCTACCACTTTTAAATTTCAATCGATAAATTCTAACACATACAAAACTAACAGATTATTTCATCTATAAAAAGCTGTTAGTGCAATGTCTGCTAGATTAAAATGTGAAACACAATGTAACCACTCTTGCTAATCATAGAAAGAAATCTTAGTCTTTCAGAAACGCAATAAAAAAAAAAGCTAGTTAATATATTATAATAAGACGTGATTGATATACAATCTGTGATCATATATCAACAACATCTATCATAGTCTATGATGTTTCCATGATTACGTCTGTGAAGATTCAGATTTTTTTTTTTCATCTGTACACTTCAACACTCATTTTACATTGAGTTTCATATTGAAATTTCTGAAATAAAAACTAGAATTTACTTAGCAAATCCAATAAAATCTTCATTGTTTGTATTAATATATGCTAATTGTGTTTGAATATAAGCTGAACATGCTTGTTTTGTTGCAATTTCTCTCTCTTTAAGATATTGCATAAGTAAATCTTCTGTTGCTTGTCGTAATAAAGGATAACGTTTCATCTAAAATAATTTAATAAAATCTGTGTTTTTTCTTTATCAATGGAATAATAAAACGTACTTTACTAGTTGCTTCATGAACAATTGAAAGTAATTCGGATGTAACCATATCAACACATTTCATAATTGGGTCTTCAAATTTAGCTATTTGCATTTGAACTATATATTCAAATGCTTCATCTGGTGTAAAAAGACCTGATCTAGAATAAATAAAAACTAGTCTTCTTTTTTAATTTGCAAAAATAAACTTCAGTCATACCGAAAACCACGAATATTTTTTATTGCAACAACTGTTTGATTACGCATATCTTTATCTTGTAATTCAACCTATTTAAAAATTAATTCATTTTTTTTAGGTAAAAATTCTTTTTATTTTTCTTTACTTTAACTAATTCAAATGGAAAACGTTCACGAAATATATTTGCAATACGTGCACCACCTGTTAATGTTTTTAAATCAGCTTCTTTTAAATTATTACCCTGTAATGCTGTATCAAAATCTTCCCGTATTTCATGAGTTAATCTAAAAATTATGTTTTTTTTTCGTTGTATTTAACAATCATATTTCTCGTTTACCCAACAAGTGCTTTTGTATCTGATGTTGAAGAATTTTCAAACATAGCTGATGCACGATATTCAGCAACGTCTTTAGATAAATCACGAAATCGTGATTGTAATTCACGTTTTAAATCTGGTAAACATTTAAGAATATGTTCAGTTAATTGTAAACTAAGTGTACGTTGTAAATATGGAACACCCATTCGATCAGCAATATCACTAAAAATTAAAAGTCTTTTCCTTTTGTTTTTGATAAGATATTTTTGTTTTACCGATAAGCTGATTCATTCATAAAAAATTGTCGTTCATGTTCAAGTGCACCTGGAATATCTAATTCCTTTGCTACTCGACCATGGTCATCGAGACGTTGACCACGAAGTACAACACCAATAAAGCCTAGATTAAATTAAATGTTTTAGTTTTTTAATGAAATAATTTTTTTTTTAAATAATTTACCTCGTTCAAGTACCACAACTTTATTTAAAAGTACTTCACGAGCATTATGTCCTTTACCCATCATATCAAGTTTAGTTAATACACCTATTGTACGTTTACCCATTGGATCTCGACTACGTGCCATAACTAAAGCATCTGATGTTACAAGATCAATATTAGCCGGTGTTACAGCTAATATCAGACAATTTTCATTGCTTATATATTCAATGATAATATCATCAATTTTTTTCACTATATCAGGTGGCTGCCCTTGAGATGGAACTTTAACCATACCCGGTAAATCAACCAGAGTAAGATTGACGACTAAAAGAAAAAGTAAAATATTATATGGCACGTCTCTAACAGATTTTCATGGAAAAATGACAATTAGTTGCAATGTAGAATTGTTCGCATACTTGATAGAAGTATGATTCCTATTTCACTTTTCACAAATATCTATCTGCAGACATGTGATTCAATCATTAACAGTACCGCGCAAGGATGAGCATCGTATTGATAAAATGAAGATCTACCCTCATGAAGTGAACCCATAGATGATTTCCTTTGTAAAACGATACTTGAATATTAATATGCACGTTTTGAATTTATCAAAATGTTATGAAAAGACAAACACTAGATTCATTGTCGAACAGTAAAAAGTACAGCAGACAAAAGTTTCAAAAGAAGGAAAAATTGTAGAGAATGACGAGAAATTTGAAAAACAACTATATGTAAGATTCCATGTTCAATTAGAAGAGTTCGCTGAACATGGGTGTTTATATTGCTATCTAATTTTTTTTAGTCCCTACCAACAACAAAAACGCTTGCAATTCGTAATTTTGATATAAAATTTCGAGTTTATAGTATAAGAATAGATGCTTATAATACAAGGTGTTAATAAACTGCGCGAGATTTTTTAATAATATTGAATTGTGTCAATGGTTAAGTTATAGTACTTCGTTGAATGCTGCTGAGGTAGTATAGAATCTTATTAAATAATAAATTTGAACAAAACATCCAAAAGTTACAACGTTAACTAAGTAATAAGGCCCATGAAGCATATAATGGTCCATTAACAACTATTATTCATGATAGTATTTAAAAATATTGAACAGTGTATTCATGTATATATTTAAATCGATTTGTTTTCATTATAAACTCGAGTTTTTTTTTATAAAAAGTGGAATTCCTAAGTATGTTGTCGTTGCTAGAAATGCATAGAAACTGACGCTATAACAAAAAATTCTCTCTACTATCAAAAATAAAGGAAAAGCCTGATACACATTTTTTTTACTCGGACATTGGAAGAATAGAAGCAATATTCATTTTAAAAAAGTAATAGATTGTATAATTAAAGAAAAGAACAAGTTGTTTCAATGCTTTTTATTAATAAATACATCATAGAAGCTGTGTACGAAGCTTTGTCTCTTATGACTACATGATGAACATTTCTCCTAATAAGTATTGACACACAAAGGAAGATTCGATATGTCTACTATTTAATAATTGAAATCGAATTAACGACATGTATCTTTTCTTGCATGAAACGATTTTAGTCTTTGCTTTTTTTTTCTTTTGATATGAGTATTCTGATAGTTAATTGAATTATAAAAATGAAATTATGATTTCTTACCATGTGGTGAAAAAATCGTCAAATTAATGGGCATATTGGAAACACCCATTTCTTCACGTACAACTGATTTTGTATCATTCTCAATTTCAGCTCGAACATCAGCATAGTTTATAAATCTTTGTTGTGGTTTATGTCCAAATACAGCATATTCTATACAACAAAATATTTTTTATCAGTTTAATCGACTATTTTCAAGGATACCTTGGCCTTGTGATGTAATCAATTGAAGAACAAGAGGTCGTTTAGTGACCATACTTCCACCACGAGGAAGAAAATCTCTATAAAGAAAACGTTTATTTAAAATTAAAGAAAAGAAATGTATTAACATCCATACCGGCCAACAATATTTTCAAGTACTGAACTTTTACCAGCTGATTGAGCACCGACTACTACTATTTGTGGTAGTGTCAATGTTAATTTTGCATTAGCAGTTGTAAATATTTGTTGAAGTTGATTGATCATTGGAATCAATAATTCCATATCTAACGAAAACAAAAAACAAATTATTTAAATAAATTTTTAAGTTTTTGTTTTTTAATAAAAACAAAAAAAATTACTTGGATTGCCTGCTTGAGTCGCCATGGCTAGTAAATCTAAAACTAAAATCTTTCAATAAAACTACTATACAAATTTATCTATGGTTATTTGAATAAAAATGATATTTTTGTTTTTTCGTTTATAGTTATATATTACTATTTATTTTCTTGCTTATCATAATGATAACAATGTAGATACATTCAGTGATTAAGTCAACTCATATGTCCTCACATTAAAAAATAAAGAAAAAGACTTCTGTTTAATAGTGAGACAGAACTTAATCATGTGTTAGCTTTTTTTTTCTGTTTATTTATTTGGTTATTGATTTTTCTTGAAACCAATAGAACAAGAACTAAATAATCTAGATGGCGCCTGTTATAAAATATGCGTAAAACAGATAAGAGAATACTTGACTAATATGTAAATTGAAAAGCAAGATATCTAAAAAAGAAAATTGAATCATCATAATCTTAATTTTATAAAAGCGAAACAAGAAAAAAAATGAGAAAATCAAAAAATGTTTTCTTTTTTTATTCTTATTATTTGGTTATCTAATGATAAATATTTAAAATTTATTCTACTGATGACCAAGAACACGATGAGGTTGATATAATTCTTCTAAACTTTTTATTTCGTCATCGGAAAGTTTAACACTAGTTGCTGCAACAGCTTCTTCAAGTTGATACATTTTTGAAGCACCAATAATCGGTGCACATACACCAGGTTTTGATAAAATCCATGCAAGTGCAAGTTGAGCTGGTTTAACTTGTTTTTTCTCTGCTATTGTTTTTAAACGTTCAACAATTTCAAAATCACTATCGGCATAATACAATTGATGACCAAATGCATCTGTTTGTGCTCGTTTTGTAGCTGAAGTTGTTTCATTATTTTCTTTATATAAATCAGCTTTACTTCGATTTCCTGTTAAAAAGCCACGAGCAAGTGGTGAGCATGGAATAAGACCAACACCTCGATCAATACATAGTGGATTCATTTCACGTTCTTCTTCACGATAAACAAGCTTTCAAAAATAAAATAGAAATATTAAAATTTGATTTCTATAATTTATATTTTATATTACATTATAATGATTTTGCATGGAAATAAATTTTGTCCATCCATTTTTTTCTGCTATATATTGAGCTTTAGCAAATTGCCAAGCATACATCGAAGAAGCACCAATATAACGAACCTTAATATTAGAAAAAAAATCTCATAATCTATATTTGATTTTTAATATGAATAAATACTTTGCCGGATCTAACAAGATCATTTAAAGCTTCCATTGTTTCTTCTACAAATAAATATGATTAAAATTTAAAACAAAAACCTAATTTATTGTTACCAATAGGTGTTTCTTTATCTAAACGATGAATTGATAAAGATCAATATAATCCATATTTAATCTTTTTAAACTAGCATCACATGCTTCAAAAATATGTTTACGACTAAGGCCTTTACGATTTGGACCTTCAGCAACTTGATGGAATACTTTAGTAGCTACAACGATTTCTTCTCGAATAGCCATATCATTTAAAGCTCGACCAGTAATTTCTTCAGTTACACCCAATGAATACTAAATCGAATAAAATAAAAATAAATTTTGTTGGATTTTTTTATTAATGAATGTTCTACCATATCAGCTGTATCAAAAAAGTTAATTCCAAGTTCTAATGCTCGTTTAACAAATGGACGTGCTTCTTGTTCTTCAAGTACCCATTCACGCCATTTTGTTGATCCATAAGTCATCATACCCAAACAAATTCGTGAAACCTGTAAACCACTATTACCTAATCGTATATATGGCATACCACTTTTTTTCATACCTTCGACGACTGAGATATTTTGATTGTCATTGGAACTCATATTAATATCGTGGATAAATTATAACAAGAAAATACTAGTCTAAAAAAGACTCAATGAAAATTTATAAAAAGTACAGATATTTGCCATGGTATTTTTATAAAGAATCGTTCTTCGACGTGACACGAAGGTAGTTTTATTGCTCGTTCTTATGTTTTCATCTTTATCGTTTTCTTTATCATCATGTTAGTAAACCCTTTTATTTGCTTTGGAATAAAAGCATGCATGCAATGAAAACATATGAAACGGAAATAAAAGCAATACAGACGAATGCCTAGAAGGAGTGTCTCTACGACCATATTATTTGAAAACTTTCAGCTTTACTCTGCAGAAACAAGATAAATTATAGTGTGTTTACATTCTTCTTAAAACATCACTATCTGTAGGCCGTCGTACGAAGCTTTAGTGCAAAGATAGTTAAATATAAAAGATAAAAATGATAGACAATATTTCTATAAAATATCTTTGTTTCAACTATATGCATCGAAATAGACTTAGTAGTGTACTTGTAGACTATATTATTGTTTTGTCAGACAATCAATTATGATATTCAGAAGTTTTAAAAGTTCTCTGTTCAAAGTCGAACTTTTACTTTTTTTTAATTTATTGTTCTATTGTATCTTTTTGTACTTTTTATCTTATTCAATATATGACATTTTTTAAAGTACTTTAGTAGAAAATTAAAAATTATAATAGTTAAAAGTTAAAAAAAAAGGGAACACAAAAACATCAGATACATCGTTTCAATTAATTACTTTTAATTATTTCGATAGACTTAGTTTAAAAACCTTGATTTATTCTTTAAGGTGTATCTAACTTTTTTCTTCATAGACCTCAAATTATTCTTATATTTGTTGATATGATTTTGTATATGATACTTAGCTCTGTTCACATCATCATACATATTCTTATGGTTTTTCTAGTCAAATGTTGCCGTCATCTTTCGAAGTTTTCGTTGTATCAAAAATCTGGAATCACAATATAGAATGGATTCGTTAATTTCGTATTTGAAATAAAACTTAAATTTTTATGACATACCGAAGAATATATTCGACTTACTGTACTTTTCAATTGATAAAAGTTATTATGCATTGTTACAAGGCTCTGAGTGTTAGTTAAGTATATGTCTGATTTGTACTGATCAGACAAAAACAATGTCATAGTTCTTTATCTTCAAAGTGTCTTTCATTTATTATTTTCTTATTTCAAACCATTATGAGTTACTTCTACTTGAACATAGGAAAATAATCGAAATAAACTCATTCAATTGTTCATACAGTAAAACTTCTCTATTATGAACCCTATCAGGATCATTCAAAAGTGTTCACTACTTAGAGATGTTCACTTTAGAGAGTTCAAGCATGATTTACTTTCATATAAAGAAAAACTTCCAGAAAATCCACTTCTACATTAGTCATAAATAAAAACCTGGTTATTTATTTTCCTGTTCATCCATTTAATCAGAATGATGTAAACTGAAAGATTTTCCAAGTATAACACAAAATTTAATTCTTTTTTACAGCCGTTCTCTAATGTTGTTTGTCTTTTTGCTGTTGAACTAATATTTATTGAATCTTGCTGTACAAACCATTCGTATACTTGATCATCTAGTTTTTGTGCATTGACATCTTTTAATTTTCGTCCACCATTTTGATCTTGATTTGTTTCTTAATTATTTAAATATTCTGGTTTATATTTTAAAATATATTGATACAGAGCTAAGTGATGTATTATATTGTCCAGCCAAATTTTTTTTTCGTGTAAAGTAAGGTCGTAGCGTGATGTCATTCTTTACTTTACACACACAACAGTCGAATCGTATACAAAATGTACATGTTCGTACTTCGTACGAAACATGTGACAGAAAAGAGAAAGAACTCGAAAAAACATGTTTACATAAGAGAAGTCGTAATAGGAAAAAGAACCGCAAAAAGTCCTCATTGTCCAGAGTAAGGATATGTGCACATCAGAAAGAGAGATATTCACAACGAAAATCGCTCCGTTACACCCGACATACTCTTCATAATTAAGAGATGCTCATTTTAAAGTGTTCACTAGTAGAAATTTTACTGTAATCGAATTTTTATATCGATGAAATAGTTGCAATGTGTTCTCAAAATAATATCTCAAAATGAATATAAAAGATAAACTTGTTTTGCAACTGTATATAGGTTACAACAACATAATAACAAAACTCTAGAAATATAATATGCACATTATGTCTCGTTTTTAAAACAAATTGATGATGATAGTGTCATTTCAGGAGTTCATAAAAAGCCTACCGAAATAGGAATACTCATTTCGCGAGAAAGCCTGGAAGGATTTGTCAGGTTATTGAATTTCAAAAACCTTGTCAAGTTTCATTCCGAGTCCTGTCTCGAATCCTAGTAAATCTTGTTTTCAAGATTTCTCATGAGTAAGCAGAATTCTTAGAACGATTTGCTCAAGTTCTTGCTCAGATATTTTTCCGCAATGAGAGTACAAGATTCTACCAGCATTCGCTCTCAATCCTATACAAAATTTTGTCAGAAATATCAGAGAGAATTCTGCCAAAGCTTTATCGGCTTCTTTCAAGGTCTTGTTGAAATCTTCGTAATCTGATCCTGTTACGGATTATAGATATATCAGATAAGATTCATAGCAAGAAAATAACAAAAATTAGTTAGAATTCTAAGCTGAGAAACTCTGACCAGACTTGATCGCAATATTGCATGAATTGTTATGCATACTTGTTGTGAGTATCTGTTTGTAACTTTCTCTTCAGCATTGTGTTCAAAGCTTTTCAAGAACAATAACATCGTCTCCTTGCAAGATAATTTCTATCCTAATCAACATCTTGATAAGAAATCATAAAGATTCAGTTAGAAATTTTGCAGATACTGTTTTCACTGTTAAGTTCTGTTCATCTCTTGAGAAAGTGTTTAAAAAGAAATTTCTGCAAAGTTTTATTCAAACAATTTGTGTTTACCTAAGATTTAATTATAAGTTAACTATTCATTGGAAATTCAAGCTCTGGAAACTTGTAGTTACATAAAATCACATGACACGACGCAGTCAAGTAAGTGTATTAATTTGTAAACCAAAGACATAGAGATCAATACTCTATGTATTTATTTCTCTTCTGTTGTCTGTCACAAATCCGACAAAGGTCCTGCCAAGCAGTCTGATAACATCCAGAAGGAAAGTTTGTAAAATTCTGTATGATCCAAAGATAATCTTCTTTGTCAATTAGGGTGTTCTGAAATCCTAGCAAAATCTTACTAAAACTTTATTCCAGATTCAGTCACAAACCATCACATTTCATGACAACACGCTTTCTTTAGGATTTGATTGTTTCTTCATAGAAAGAACAAGGAATCATTGGAGAATCATTTATGGGAACTGTCATGAATCTAGTACACAGATACCAAAGATTTTCTCTAGGACAAAGACATCATAAGGAGAAGAAGGGAGCAAACTTTCCGAAATTATAAACAACAAAGCGAAACGTAGTAGCTTATGAAAATATCTTGCAATGAGTCATTGTTTTGCTCGTTCTTTATCTTGTAATACTATACATAGTCACAGATAAAAAGATCAATTGAAGCATTCAAGTGAAGCGAAAAGAAAAAACAAACAAAACACATCTTAAACAATAAGAAAAAGTCGAAAACAACAACTGTTGGCACGGCATCCATATACACGACTATGAGGAAGCAACGGCCTCCTCATACTCATCTGGTTCAAAACTTCCTACTGATATGGTTTGATGCTAACATTGATGGCATGAACAACAATGATTTTATCAATACCATTAACCAATTAAAAGAAGTGGTCAATGAGATATATCCATTCACCAATGTCGATGAATGCATAGATCTCATAACTGATATTGAAGAAGAGAAAGTATTTATTATATTTTCTGGTTCCTTTGAACAAACAACTGTTTCTATCATCCACGACATTCCCCAAATGACCACTATTTATATCTGGATGAAGAACCATGCCAAACATGAAAGTTGGACATAACAATAGTCAAAAACAAAAGGTGTATTTACAAATGGCTTGTATTTATTTGAGCAATAAAAAATATAGAATGAGCAATAATAAAAACATGATTTAACAATAATTTTTGAGCAATAAAAAATATTTATTTGAGCAATATTATAATATAAAATGAGCAATATTATGATATTAAATGAGCAATATTTTGACATTAAATGAGCAATAAATAATTTATTATATAACAATATTAATTTCATATTTGAGCAACAAAAAAAAGATAGAAGTGAATTATTTTTATTTATAATTTACAAGAAACAAAAAAGAAAAATGGGTGTGGGTGTGGATGTGGGAGGGTCTGGGTGTGGGGTAGACATCGGCGTGATCAACATTTTTTGGTCACGGTCACGTTACGGTCACGATCAGTTTGGTCACAGTTACGGTCACGGTCACGATCAATTTGGTCACAGTTACGGTCACGGTCACGATCAGTTTGGTCACAGTTACGGTCACGGTCACGATCAGTTTGGTCACAGTTACGGTCACGGTCACGATGGCAACGGTCGTGACCGTGACCGTGAGTCACTGTAGCCATGCCAGTCTCTATACGAACGACTATTTTCTTTTTTCTCAAAACAGCATACCCTTCTCTTCCGATAGGAGGTCCCTATATTAGAAGGGTTTCCATAATAGAAGACCCCCTTGGAGAAATACGTGCGAGACTTAGTATAAGACTTTATTCAATTATCAAATTTTTCGAAAAATGACAACTTCAACCACTGGATTTACATCATAATATGCTTAGTTTTCAGAGTTTTCAGCTACAAAATTTAACTAAGTGTTTTCAACCTTTTATCTAGGCTTTTAAAATCCGAAAAATTCCTTCTCAAAGCATCAAAATCGCTTTGGCTTTCTGAACAATTTTTTTAGTTGCAATCTGTAGAAAGAAAAGAGACATTACCCAAGACCCTCTGGAAACTTTTGGGATTAGACACAATAGAAAACCTCGGATCTTGGGTGTG